TGCGTAGCAAAACCAGGTACCAATCCATCGAAAAGTGGTACCGTTCAGAGGAAAAGGCGGTACTATTGTTCATTCGAAGTGGTACTACATAAGTAATTGTGATTTTTTTTTATCCTTCATGTGTATAATGACACGTGGGTCGTTCACGTGTGATTCGGATGGAAAATAATGGAATTTAAAACATATAGCTGTAATTTAGAGTAGTTAGTATTGATGATTCTAAGAGATGAAGTGAGTAATTCAAGGAGATGTTGTGCATTATTAGTATTTTCTCACTAGTGTGTCGAGTTGATGACCATTTTACTACCAAATTTAACTAAAAACATTCCAAATCACGTATGAACTAATGTGATAGTGAACTTGAGTCATATAAACATCATTCGAGTCCGAAATTCGACGTTTAATGTGTCCATAAAATGTGGTACTGATTGGCTAATAAGTGGTACTACTACAATACAAAGGTGGTACTACTCTTCGATAGGCGTGGTACTGTTTTTTGGAAATGTTGAGAGAAATTGAAATAACACATTTTTGCGTAGCAAAACCAGGTACCAATCCATCGAAAAGTGGTACCGTTCAGAGGAAAAGGGTGGTACTATTGTTAATTCGAAGTGGTACTACATTAATGAACTTGGGTCATATAAACATCATTCGAGACCACAAAATAGGTACCAATATTGAAAGTGGTTTACCCTAATTTCAAGTCTCGTACTCCACCACAAAATAGGTACCAATATTGAAAGTCAAATTTTCTTCAGAAAAAAGTGGTACTAATCGCTCCAAAACCGGTACTATGTAGAAGAATATGTGGTACTATTCTGCCCAAAACTGGTATTAGTTTGGGAATCTTGTTTTTTTACTCCGTGTCTAACTTTTCACGTGAATATTTCTAGCTTGATTTCGAATAAAAAAAGAATTTAAATGAAATAGGTACTAAATGCCCAGAAACATGTTCTGAAATGCTGTAAAACTGGTACTATTTTTAAGAGAATAGGTACTACTACAAATAGAACCTTGTAGAACATAAGAAAAAAAAAAAAAATCATCCAGAAAACTGGAAAAACATCATCAAACAAACAACATAACAACCATCAAACAATTTAAGGACTGAATCACAACCAAACAGCATAACAACCATCCGAGCAGGATCAAACACCAAAAAACAACATAACAACCATCTTCTTTTTTAACATGGAGGATTTTTAA